TCAAAAAATAGGTTAGCAGAGGCCTCCAATCTTACTTATACTTAAAACATATAAATATTATTTTGTGATACCTATGTTAAACCCAAAATAATTTAGGATTACCTATAAATCTATTATGTATAAAAATGTTTGTTTGCTTTTGGTCCCGGGGATCAAACGTGGGACCTTGTGCTTATGAGGCAGGCAGCAGAACCACTGAGCTAAATCCCCAGCCCTATTATGTATAATAATGAAAAACTTAATATATTAAATACCCCTAGGGGAACATTCCAGACTTTACTCCAGGTTTTTCTTATATTTAACCATGACTGTCTGCAAAGAAAGTACTTTTTTGCCAGGTGTGGTGGCACAAGCCTGTAATCCCAGCACTCAGGAAGCTGAGGCAGGAGGATCACTGTGAGTTCGAGAACAGCCTGTGCTAGCTACAAAGTGAGTTCCAGGTCAGTCTCAACTGCATAGTGAGACCCTGTCTCAAAAAAAGAAAGAGAGAAACAGAAAAATAAAGTACTTTTTTACCTAGTCTATATCCTGCGAAAACATTAAATATTTAGTTAGGCTTACTAATCTGAATGCATTTTCAGATAATTTTAGATTGTTATGAAGGAAAATGTAACATTAAGCTGTTTGAACTATTTTCTGCATTTAGTCAAAACAGTTTAAAGATATGTTGTTGTACAGGAGCCCAGAAAAAAACAGGGGTAGCAATCTTATTTGCAGACAAAGTAAATTTCAAACCAAAACTGAAACTAGTATTATTGATGTAGGACAGTACTGTATCATACCTCTATGAATGTAAAATATCTAGTACCTGCTTTATGAGACATAGTAGGAACCGTACTTTATCAGAGCTACATTTAATGATATTACTCTAGAATGTTCTCTTTCCAGATGATGATTAAGAGGCTAATAGAAAAAATGGTGCCAGGTACCACAGCAGCAACGGAACTTGGCTGTTGTCTGGATATTATTATTATTTTTTTTAATGGAATGTGCTGAATGTCTATAATTTTGTTCAGATGACTGCAGAACCTGGAAAAGCTGTTGCTGCTATCGATGCATAACATACTATTATTAGTCTTTATATATATATACACACACACACACACACACACACACACACACACATATATAAACTGAATTTTGGGAAACTTTAACGGTGCTGCCAACTTTGGAAAAAGTCATCCCAATTTACTGTGTTGACGTGGCATTGTACAGAAATGGACAACCATATTGGTCTAGAAATGTTAATTTTATTTATTTATTTTTTTCCCATTTGTACAGGCATAATGCACTGTATTAAATATGTAAGGTCATATCTACGTGGGTTTGATTACAGAAACTAATAAAGTATTCTCTAAATAACGAAAAAAGAATAAGATAAGACTATAAGAGAGAGAAGCAATTTAAATATGTTCAGGGACCATTTTCATCTCCAGAATTAAGGATTATTTTGATGTTACATCATTGCCTTTTCTCTTTTACTTTCCTTTTTAGTTTTATTTTAGGATTCCCTATTTTTAATGTTCATACAGAGATTTCTTTAACTGAAATACCGAATAGTTTCTTTGTTGTGAAAAACTATAATAGTACACAGGATCCTAATGAGACAATTAATAATGTGAAATAGGAAGTAAAGGGCTAAAGGTGTAAGGAAAGTGGAAAGGGTGGGGGAGAGGTAATAAGGGAGAGGAAAAAAATATGAGAAACTGAAAAAATGGAAATAAAGTGTTTGTAAATGGGGAGGGAAGGAGGGGGTGAAGGGAGGGCAGGGACAAGGGGAAAAATGAGATTCAAGACCTATTATGTAAAGATACAGAATCCCAATGATGAATGTAACTGTATTTGTATACCTAGATTGTACCAATAACCTCAATAAAAAAGAAAGAAAGAAAAAAAAGATATATTGTTGTAAAATGTGTCTGGATATTTGAAATAATTCATTGTGGGATTCAGACAATTTTTGAATATCAATTCAGGTTTTTCTATGAAAACATAGTAAGCTTTTATAAAACTAGGGATAGAGTTTTAACATCTTTACATAATTGATACTACATTATTTCATTGTGGCTAGTTTAATGTTCCAATATCTTTTTCCTTCCCTCTGGGGATCAGATCCAGGCCCTCACTATACAACTGAACTACCTTCCAGTCTCTATAGCACTTTTCAAGGCCTAACTATCTAAATATTGAACTATAACAAATTATTAAACGTTTAAAAACCTCAGGTAAAATGATTAGTAAAATATCTTTGTAACCATTAAATAATAGTCTGAATATGTGATTCACAAGGAGTTTTTCAACATTAGACATCAAAGGTGGTTACCAGTTGTCCCCAATAAACTTTATACACTATGATTCATCAAACAATTCTAAATAGTATTTTTTTTATTTTTTATGACATCAATTGTGGTGTCAACAGGAAAATAAATAGAAAATTATTTATTTGAATAATGTTATTTCATACATTATTTGTAAAAATCTCAGAATTTAGGTAATAATAACCATAGTAAATATGGGATTTGTGTAATTTTTATGCTAAGCAATTTAACTATTTCATCAGCAAATGTTGAATGGTTCCACAGTGTTAAGACTTGATCATTTAAGCATTTAATTGCTAAGTGACTCTTAAATTCCTGAAAGAAGAAATACCACTGTCCACAAATGAAATGTTTGCATAATGCAGACTTTACTGTCTTTCCTTTTCCAATCTACAGCTCTGTATTAAATCAATTCTTACTTTGACAATTCCAGATTACTCTTTGTTATGACAACTGAACTATTATTTAAAAATTTAAAACAGCATTTATATAGTTTTTCTGAATATATTGGCATCATAGGTATGCATTTTATCATACCAGGAATATAAAACAAAGTAATGAATCAAAATAATACATATTAAACAAAGCACCTAAAATGTTCAGAATTATTTGGTAGAATATGCACATTGTATCTTTTAAGGACACATGTGTAAATACCATATTGTTCTATCATGTGAAAAACTGAAAGTGTAAATGAGTACCAACATATACAGTAGTTACTATGAAATAGGAAGCAAATGTTCAAAGGAGAAGGGGACATGGCAGGGGGAAGAAGAGAGAGAAAAATTATAAAAAATGAAGGAAAAAATGGAAACAAAGCTTTTGTAAATAGAATGGGGTGGAGGAGTGGAAAAGGGCAAATGAAGGGAAAAAAATAAGAACTAAGATATATCATGTCCAGATACAAATTCTCAATGATGAATACGATCATAACGTATAAATAAAATGTACCAATAAAATTAATTTTTAAAGAAATAACATTAAATATATACAAAACACATACCCATTCTAGGTAACTTCTCCAAACAGTTAAAGACATTATACCACAATGATGCATGCATACTCATGTTCATAGCAGTGCAATTCATTTCTTTTTTTTTTTTTTTTTCCTGGCACTGGGGATAGAACTCAGGACCTTGTGCTTGTGAGGCAGCTGTGGCACTACTGAGCTAAATCTCTGGCCCAGCAATTAAATTCATAATAGCTAAATCTTGAAAACAGCCTAAATGCTCATCAATACAGGAATGGATTAAAAATGTGCTATCTTACATTAAAAACTCAATGTATATATAAAGTACAAAGTAAAAGATAGATAATAGGAAGAAATGAGAAAGAAAAAAGATATTGACATATATTGGAGATAATTTACAGTACCTAAAAGTGTAACTTGACAATTCTAGTCTTACACATTTTATATTTTTTAGTCTGTTAGTTTAGTTTTCAGGCTGTATATATAATAATTAACTTTATAAAATCTGATAGGATAAATGAAGCTGATACAATTCTGATTCAACTAAACCTGATACTTCTCTGAATTATGTACTACAAACACATACTAATAAAAAAGTTGAATTTCCCTTTGTACCAACTGTAACAGCTTACTGGTTTCCTCCTTAATTAATGAACCGAATAAAAATCTTTGTATATGTTAAAATAAATAAATACTTAAACATACATATCAACATAAGCCCAGGGTTCTATGTAAAATATTTAGACCTTTATAAAACACATATTTAATATGTTACTTAACTACTAAGAGAATCCCCTGACAATAATTGGCCTCAGCATTTCAATAAGGGGTTGGTCTTATTTGAAGAAATTTAGAAAGTAAACATTTCCGATGTAATAAATATATTAATATCATGATATAGTAAAATGAGAAATATATGATAGGTAGCAAACTTGCATTAATTACAATTTTACTTTTCATAAAGAAAAGCACTGTATGCATTCTAGGGAAGTGTGAACTGGAACACATTAGTAACCTCAAGACTTTTCTAAAATATCAGGATACATCTTTTTTTAATAGTACAAATTGGCTTTACAAAGAGTGTATATACCAGGATGGCAATATTAACACATATTCTGATTTTATTACATCCAATTAAAATATATTCAACTGTCTAGAACATAAATTGCCATTAAGGATATAAAAGTTGAGTTTTTTCATCATTTTTCATTCAGTATTATTTCTGGGTAGTTTTTAAAATTTCTGATAAATATGGCAATTACAAATAGTAGTATACATTGCTAGGAGCCCTATTGAGTAATTTTTAAAAGGTCAAGGAAACATGCAAGTAATTGGGTATTTTTATGCTGCAATAGCAAAGCACATATTTTTTCAAAACAAAGTATATGGTGAATTCTTTGCAGGCAAGCAAATAATCTACTAAAAAGTATGTTTATTCTGTACTTGTTAAGATAAAGCAAAGCAAAAAAACTTCATAAACAACAATCTGTTAGGCCTGCGAATTCTATTGCCTTTGTCAGTAACATGTTTAAGAGTTAGTTCATATTTCCCAAAAAAATGCATACATGACAAATTTCTGCTACACAGTTATGTGTTTAGTAGTCAGGACCATGTAGTTATAAAATTAATATAATCAGGGTTAACTGATGTTCTGAGATTCTGAAACATGGAAATTACGAATAAACAGGACTATAGTGTATGTAAAAACTCACCCTTCCAATCTTACATCCGGCAGACTTCTGTTAAGGGCAATCAGATCACTGGCCATAAGATTAAATTGATTGATTTTGAACAGTTCTTTCATTTTCTCTTGATCATCTTTAGGAATTAGCACAGCTTTTCCCATTTCTCCTGGACCTTCTTGGTTTCTTGAAATAACGGCTGTAAGACATACACAGGTACACACACATATGAACACAGAATAAACTGAATAAATAAACTTCTGAAGTGTATTGTTTGTATACACATTTAACAATATAATCATCCAGACAATTGCTCATAATACACATGCTACATGAAAGAAACAATCTCTTTTAGTTCAATTCTATATTTTATCTTTCAACTATAGTGATCATTTGACTAAGATTAAAACTTCAGTAATGAAAATGTCAAGTCCTATAACAGTGTGGTTGTGTTTCAAAATACTTCTTAGAGAAGATATTGAGCACTAAAGCATATGTGAAAAGAGAAATTTGAAAATATACTAATACTAATTTATTTTCACAACTAATTAAATACAAACTGTAAAATCCTATAAGAATATACTTAAAACCTAGGATAGAACATAATTGTGAACTTTACTCAGGTTTGAGCTTCATAGTTTTAAAACACAAACAATACCATTACTAGACTGAGTACGAAACTGACCATCAAATGAGTTATTGTCTCTAAGTTTATCCTGACCTTGAAATGGCATGAGTCAAACTATGAAAGAGGGTAAGTATCTCAGTATAACTTTAGATATCAGTGCCAGGAAGGTGATTAACTTGAAATCATCTCACATTCAGAAATACAGTTAAGCTGGAAATTTTTCAATGGAAAACACATATGCACCCAACTTCAAGCTATTTAAAAATTACCATTTGTTATACTTTGCATCTTAATTTGTTCCCAAGTGTCTATGGGGCAAAATCTTGCTCCCTGGATAGCAATATGGGAAATGTTAAAAACTTTGATAAGTGGAAACAGAGAGAGATCTCCAAGTCCTTGGAGGCATGTCTTTGAAAGGGGTTGCAGGACCCCAGTCCCTTTCTTCCTGTCTTGCTTCGTGGACACATGAGGTGTTTTCCTCCGCCACACACACCTGCTGTGACCTGCTGCCTGACCTGAGGCAGTGGACCCCACTGATCATACACTAAGCCCTCCAAATCTCTGGGGAAAAAATTAAGTTATGTGTTATAGTGCTAGAAAATCATTTAAAGGAAGTTTACAAAGATTATCATTCAGTCGAAGAAGCAAAACAAAAAAAATATGTCATTAATTTTATGAGAAAGCATATTTTTTCAATTTAAGAAATTAAATTCTAAATATTAATTTTTCCAGAGTATGAATTGCCCTTCAGATTTAGTAAGCTGAGAATTCCCACAATCAGTTGGAGTTGCTGGTATTATTGATAATATTTGTATTGCTAGTTATATATTTACCTTAAGGAATATTTCACCTCTAGGATTTTGGGGGGAAAATAATTCCACACAACATGTTGAAAGAATCTCTATGGTTCCCTCCAGAGTCCTTCTAATTCTGAGATAAGAAAATAATCAAACTATGTGATAATTCCCATCAACCTATATATTTAATTTTCATTCTAACATATTCTGGACTATAGATTTAATTCCATAAAATGATAACTTTCCTGATAGAAGATATTGATTATTATTTTGAAGCACTGATGAATGATTACAAAATTCGGGGTAAATTTATTTTAAAATTTTTTATAAATTAAGAAAGTAGCTCCCCATTCACAGTTATTTACAATCTCCTTCTAAGTAGGAGAGCCTCCTTCATCTTCTTAGGTTCTATTAATTGTGTAAAAATCTAATTTACATTAAGAAGTTTGACAAAAGAAAGACATAAGGATGTCTTTTTTTTTTTTTTTACAAATACATAGGAGTCTTCAAAAGAAAAATGAAAACCTGAAGCATTTGACACAAAAGCAGATAGAAGTTTTTGTATAAAGAAAAATAAATTATAGGGCTGATGTGAGACAAACCGGCATAGATTAGAGGCAGAAATTTTGGGGAAAGTAATTAGGAAATTTAATGAATATTGAGGTTATTTTAGCAACTTTGCATAGATCCATTCCAGGTCTGACTCCCATTTTCTGAAGAAATAATGCTGTTCTCTCTCTGAACATTTGGAAGGGTACATTTCTATTTGGAAATTTTATGACCTTTTAAATAAAAAAAGACAAAAGAGGTCAGAGTTTTCTGTATAGGTTGCATCTTCCTGCAGCTTGAATCATTAACATGCCAAAACTCCCTATGTGGGAGTAGCAAAATCTGAAAACTTCCTCCTCTATAACAGAAAGACACTATCATACAGAGAAAGGCACTATGCTAAGTGTAATAGTCCCAAGGCTGGCAAGTAGATAGGGTTAAAATTGTATACTCTATGAGGAAGACAAGTGGCTTCACTACGACATTTTAGGCCATTAAGATCAAGTTAAAGGCCAGAGATTTAGCTCAGTGTTGCTGAACCTGCTTGGAAAGCCCAAGGTCATTAGTTTGATACCTGATGGTGAGGGGAGAAGAGATCAAGTTAAAGCTCACAGACATTCAAAATAATAAGTTTCCTTTTAGCATTATTATTTAGATTATCATTTTGTCACTGGTAGTAGGAGTTAAGTGGATCATGTTGCATAGTATTAAAAATCAGAACCTAAATTATCACAAGCTTACAGCTAGAACTATTTGCAAACACATGTATTTATTGTTCTTATTCATTCACAATTTCTTAGTGGGGAATAAATAATAGCTTAGTGCTTATCTACATATGTGTTTTCTCTGCAGAGTTAAATACATTTTTACATAATTGTCTCTAGTCAACGAATGTTTGACATAAACTGTTTTCTTGTGTACGGGTAGACGTATCAGTTTTTTACCCTGTTCAGGCAAAACGAATGGTAAACAATTAAATAAATAAGTATAGAACCAGCCTTTTCTTTTTCTGGTTCTTACCTGGAAGAATTCATTCTAATAGAAAAAAAAACGCTTGTTTTTTTAATTCCTTTAAATAGCATAAATAGGAAATGAGAAAGAAAAAGCAATTGCACTAGATGGTTTATCTCTGCTCCACATAACTTTAAAAAACATTTCCTATTTTTTCCTCACCTGATGATTCTTTTTCTCATCACAGCTTAAAAACCTTACTCAAAAAGTCACAAAACATACTTCCCTACAGCCAAACAAAAAAGTCACAATGAATTGTTATCAAATATATGTGATGCTTATCTATTCTCATAGGCAACAAAACCTGCATTCTAGTTTTTTCATTGATGTGAATATAGATAGAAAATTCCTGATTCCAACTGTTTTACATTAAGAAAGGAGTAAACAATATAAAATTCTGTAAGTTATTAACTTATTTGTTATGCTCTAAATCAAGAACTGACAATTTACTACTTTTAAAATAATATTATAAAACTGGAAAGATGAAGAGAACAAAAATGTTTTACAAATAATTTTCATTCTCTTTAACATCATCCCTACTTAAAAGACATAAAGAAGATTTTATCCAATCTTAGAACTCCCACTGATAGAAGATAACCATATAGAACTCATCAATCTACTGAAAATAATTTCACATGTTGATTTCATATTTACTTATGGGCATTGCATTACAAATAGTTTTGCAGAATTACTCCATTAATGAGCATTCACTACTTATAAAATGAGAAATGGACCAGCCTATATTCATGGAAAAGTTTGACATTAAAAATAATTAATTTTAATGTACTGATTTGATTCTGTTTAAAAAGCATAGTTTTTTTAACTTACTACGTATTGGTAAAAATGCAATAATGAAAAAAATCTAAATGTTATCTCATGTGACATGCTTTCTAAATATTTTCAAAACTGTATTCCTATCTAACATCTACCTAATTGTTGATTTTTTATTTGCCTTTAAACACTTTCTTCTTTTTGACATTACTGCTCTTTCACTTTCATCACTTCCAGTTTGACAACTCTAATGAATTAGGAACCCTACTTGACTTTCCTTCCTCAACGTATGTTGATATTTTGTGACAAGTAAATTCATGCTTTTGTTCTTGTGCATCATAAATATGTTTGTGGTGGGTGAAAGGATGAGGAAATCATAACAGCTTCTAAACCGTACCTCTAGCAAAAATAGAGCTTACCATTCTCTGGTTACCATTCTCTAGGCCATGGTTTTTTACCAATTGAAATGCCCCCAGTTTAATAAGATTAATTCTGATTAAAATAAAGTAAAATAAGTATCCATTCATGTCGGCCCACTTAGAAACAATAATAGGCTTTTAATTACAGATAACCTGAAAATTCGGAGGAACTCTGAAAATGACAGAACCAACAATGATACCTTGGCATGCTGAATAATTTTAACTAAAGGAAAACCAAGGATTGTCTCACATGCTCAGGCCTAATCCCCCAAGTCTATCCCCACGTCCTCCTGGAAAAGCCAACAAGTACTTCCTCCGAAGTCCTGACATACCTAAATAGTGGGTCCCTTAGAAGGTTAATTCATGGCGAGGAAGTCTAGAGTGAATACTACATATAGAGCTCACGGGAACATTTTCCTAGGCTAGTCTCTGTTCTTTGGGCTCATTCTTCCCTAAAAATCACGGATTCTTCCTTTAAAAGTACCCAGAGCCTATTTGTGGCTCAGACATGACTCAGAATTCATTCTAAAATATATCTAAGAAAACACTTTAGATCTGTTCAGGCATTTACTTGAACAGATAATTAAAGTAGTATGTGCATGGGAATGTCTGTTTGTACATGTATGAAAATTACACATTTATAATGGGCTAGGAATGTAACTCAGTGGCGCTATGCCTGTTTGGCAAGCACAAGGTCCTGAGTTCAATATATGGCACCTAAAAATAATAATAATAAATATATGAATCATATATAAGGAATTGATAAATAGCTGCATTAATTGGTATATTCCTAAATGAAATTATACAGTAATTAAAAGCATGCTATAAAAGAGATTTTAATGAAGTGGAAGACATTCATTTTATACTAAATGAACTAAAGGTTTTTAAAACTGTGTTTATAAAGTAGTTCCATTTTTCTTTTCAAAAGTTAATGTATATACATATGGTGCAAATGAAAATCTTTAGCAATTCACTAATTCCTAGGAATGTTTGTCCTGTTTCCTTTGTACTATCTGTATTTTCT